CAAAAAATGCCGGTTTATACAATATTCCTTGACTTCGCGAAAGCCTTTTACACAGTACCCCATTTACCGCTGGTAGCAAAGGTTTAGAAGATGGGCTTCACTGATAGATTTCTGTTTTGGCTCAGAAACCAATTAAAGAACAGAAAGTTTCGTACCAAAGTAAATAGAGTGCATGCGAGCTGGTGAGTCTCAATATCAGGAGTTTCACAGGGGATCTTAGGTCTATTCCCTTTCCTGATATTTATTAAGGACTTGTTAGATAAAAGTAGCTTAGCGGCATTAATCTATGCAGATAATGCAAAGGTCTGGAGATCCATAAGAAGCGAACAGGATTCGACTGAGCTAAAAAGGACCTTATGACAATAGAGAGATAGACAGTGGACAACCGGTTAGAACTTAACCAGTCGAAAATTCACGTCATGAACATTCTTCCACACGCGACACAAACAACTTACATCCTCAATGGAAATCCACTCCCTAATGTCTCCTCAGAGCGCGATCTCAGAATAATTACCACAGAAAGCCTAAACACCACTTCAAACTACATAGGGAATGCACCCAAGGCTGAAGCAACCCTTCACTTTATGCGAAGAGAACTTGTCTCAATCACCGTAGAACTGTTTTCAACTTTCTTTAAAACACGCACGATCACACCTTGAATTTTACAATGTCGGCACACCCCTTTTACTCAATAAAGACATGAATGTTTGGACCGAGTGCAGAGACGAGCAACTAAATGAGTGATATGGTTAAAAAAATAAAACCTTACAAAGACAGACTCCAACATTTGATATTATTCCCGCTGAGTTGATAATGATATGCAACATACTAAGCACGCCGAATCACCACAACATGAGCATCCCACCAGTTCATTACCGCCACGCCCCTTGAAGAATTTCACGTCAAAGAACGAACTCGCTTATCGATTATCATCTCGCACTTGGACCAACTGTGTCTGGTGCATATCTTAAAACTCTTTTGTTGTTATTTCCTTGGAAAACTAACTTATTCTATCTTGCTTATTGTTGTGTTTCCAATCTTAACCTTACATTTCAGTCCCTTCAGTAACTTTACTACCGGCTAACTAACCTACCCATTTACCTACTTAGTTCTTAAATTTCATTAGCACTAGAAATTTATCTCATTATTCTCCGTATCGCAAATGACCGGTCTCCAGCCTGGTGATATGATTACTGAATACCTGGAACCGTATGGAAACAACAAGTGAGCCCTAAGAAATCACTTGCTTTATACTAGCTAGTGAAACTGATATCGAACATCTAGGTTACAGACTTAGTGATCTGTATGGAGTAATGTTTGTTTGAATTACCCTATTCGTTATATTTTATGAGCATAAACATGTAGTGTACTATGATTATTTTACCTTAAATTGCTTGCCTTATTGTACAAATCTCGGACAAATATTTTCTACAATACAACTATTTACATAATGAATCCTCCAGTTTATACAGATTAAACTTATTCGCTTGAACTGTAGCTATGCGATTGCAGAGTGTGCCACTATTGGTAAGCTTTTTAGTCGCTATGCTTATACGAATAAGAGGAATGTTATCGCAGAAATAGGGACTGTATGTTCTACAGCTTCAACTTTTTATACAATTAGTGATAGAAACAATGTTTGCTTGAATAATAGTCCAAATGGTCGATTGAATAGGAACCAACTTCAAATAGAATTTTATTAGGAATATATTTCTTCAGTGACTTGTGTAAGTTTTCGACAATAATGCTTACATGTACTTGTAATGGACGCTGAGATATTCACCATAAATAATACCAGTCATTCAGTCTGAAATGTTTGACGTCAGAATCTTGTGTGTGGTTCGGAACAGTTTTCAGATATTCGAATGGTGACATAGTTTGCGAGTATCTTGAAACTACAAAAGTCAAATAAACTAGGCTTTTTGTCACTTTTAATGTAAATATCGATTGCTAGTTTTGAGATTGTGGAGAGAATTCGTAGCTCAGATGGATAGACAGAAGTCTATCTGAAGAACAATGAAAGCACTACAGCCCAAACATGCGTCTCAGAAAACTAAAAACCACTTCTTAGTGGCTACTACCAAGATTTCTAAGAAATAAGTGTCGACTGATTTTCGCAAATAATTCGATATATGTAAATAATACAACAATACGAATAGGAATGACTGTACACGACTAAAGAGATCAACAGTCTGTGCTGGTGATTGAATCAATTTAAATTACGAGGGGCTTTGGGTACGTTGGGTTCCCGCCACTCGTCTTGGCAACCAATATAGTCTATGAGCTAAGGTTGGCATGTGCGTCATCTACACCATCACTGTAAACCATTATGAATTCTGTCTCTTTATGAGTTTTTTCTCTGTTTTCCGTGAAAAAAGAAGCTGCACTTGCTAGAAATGCCTTGCATCCAGTATATTCAATATCTTATTCATGTGCTGGTATAAACCGATTGATTTCTTTGCTCTTGATTCTTGTTCTTTCGGTATAGTTGATAGTTTCCAATGAATAGGGTTCTAGCCAACTGACTGTTTAATGCTAGTCAGTTGACAGTTGGCTATGAGTTTGTATGTCCCATGATCTGAATGAAAACGTTTGTTTCAGGAAATTTGGGTTCCTGGATGCCAGCAGCTCTCATATTGCTAGGCCGGAGATCAGTTAATTGCAATAAGGAGAATAATAAAGAGAAAAATCCTAATGCTGATAAGAAGAAAACTTCAGAACTAGGTCGATAAATGCATAATTTAGTTTATTAATCGCTAGTGAATATTGTGCAAGAGGACCGAAGTGCAAGCAAATGAAAGGAAGCAGAGAAAATAGGCGAGATAGGTTAAGTTGGTGATCTAAGGAGATTGCAATAATAACAACTCATAGGCCTCAAGACATGCATCAGGCACAGCTGTCTCACGAAGGAGATGATGATCCGTATAATGGTACGCGTTTATTAAGTCTCTTCTTGACCCGCAGCTGCTACCTTGAGGTGATGGTCGGGCTTGCCTCTCGTGATGACCCAACCGAGCTATATTGGCTAGAACTTATGTTCCTGAAGGTTTCACCATGCCAGGCAGGTCAACTGGAGAGCGATGAGACTAAAAGCAGCTACACAAGGTCTGAGGGCGAAGTCGTACTGCTGACTGCAGAGAGGTGTGACAGCAGGAAGGTGTTTCCATCGGACAACCAGCATCTGCAGCGATTCTGCCTTCTCACAAGGAAGAAAGGAAGGGTTAGAAAAGGTCGACTGCCATCTGAATTCTCTACATCAAGCGGTGTCCGTCGGGGCTATCCTCTCTCTCCGTTCTTGTTTAACTTTGTTGTAGACATCCTCTTAGAGTTAACATTAAGCCTGTCAGATGCAGAGTCTTCTGTCTACCATGAGCAACAATGCGAGCATATTCGGCATGCGGTTCTCACGCTCGAAATACAAAATGTTGCTTCAAGACTGGGTTGCATTGGCACCTGAACTAGTGATAGGGAGTGAAGTAGTCGAGCGTGTTGATCACTTCACTTATCTGGGGAGTCTCATCAGTGCTGATAGCCTGGTGACTGACGAAATCTCAGCTCGGATACAGAAGGCTAGATTGGCTTTTGCCAACCTGCGTCACTTATGGCGTAGGCGTGATATCCGTTCGCTAACCAAAGGATGAGTTTACTGCGCAGCAGTTCGCTTTGTTCTTTTATATGGATGTGAATCATGGCTGTTAAGAGTAGAAGATGTACGTAGGTTACTAGTATTCGATCATAGATGTCTTAGAAGAATTGGTTGCGTATCGTGGGACAACCGAGTAAGCAATGCTGTCGTTAGGAAACGAGTACTAGGTAAGAATGGCAGATCAATAGATGAAGTAATGAAACTTCATCAGTTGAGGTGGTTCGGACATGTGTTACGAATGCCTAACCACCGACTGCCTCGATGAGATATGTTTTGTGGTGTCGGTGTAGATTGGAAGAAAGCTAGGGGCGTCAGACCAAAACATGGCACAAATCCATGAAGTCACTGACAAGTGGACTGAGTCATGTTGGTAGATGTAGACTACCTGGTTGAGGTCCGCGAGACGATAGTCACCAATGGTTAGAGACCTTGAATGACATGGCTCAGAATCGTTTGCGATGGCGCAAGTGCATCCATTCTTTGAGCTCTCTCAAATCCTAATCTTCTGGATTCATCAGTACCTCTACCTTTGTCTTTCTAACCACATCTCACTGAATTATACTTCTTGAATAATATCTTCGAACCTTAGTCTTCTTCATTACCATTAATACCTCTACTATCTTTATTACATTGGGATTTGATTTGACATTTGCGTCTCTGTGGACCTACGATGGTCCCCTGTGAAACTCCTGGTGTGGATACTCGCCAGCCC